TCGTCTCGGGTTCTGGGAAATTCGGGACGGGTCCTGTCAAGGGGCCTGACTGCCGTAAAGGGCAAAATGGAATAAATTGCCCCTTGAGCCTGAGTTCGAAAATTAAGCCCCAAAATACCTCGAAAAGGCAGTAGAGCCTTAGGAAGTATTTTGGTTATCTTCACCAACGAGAATAATGGTAACTTGCAGATAGTTTTGGCATGCTTACAGATGGTCTTTTCAGCTCAGCATGAGTGGCATGTGGCATGGGAGCAAAATCAACATGGGTTTAGCACTAAGAGAGAAATTAGGCTTGGTTTATGAGAAAAGAAAGTGTTTAAGTAAGGAATGAGGTGTTTTGTGAGGAATTCGACTAGGGAAAGAGGAAAAAGAAAGGCAGAGTTCTTCTGGCAGCTGCCAGAAAAACAAATTGGAGAAGAAGATGAACAGTGCACGAGTTTGTTGAGTTTTTGCAAGTTAGAGAGAAAGCTTGCTCTCTGCAGGTTGTGGGTTGTCTCTGTTGGGTAGGGGAATGCTCAATTTATAGCTGCTGGAAATCACCATTTTTCAAGAAACCCTAATGGCTTCTACTTATTTTGGCTAAGTTTTTTCTTCCTTTCTCCTCTTCTTCTCTGCTTCTGTCTATTTTCATGAATTCAGGGGATTTGGGGGCTCAACATCCTCCTTTCCCGCGGCTGTGCAATGGGAGCTTCCACTCTTGGTTTGCTGTTTTTTCTTCTTTTCTTTCCTCTTCCTTGGCTGAATCTGACGAAGGAAAAGAGGTGAAAATACATGCTGGTCCAAGGGATGCTTCTGACAGCATGCGGGATGGTATTCATCGGTTCTTTGGATGTCTCTGGCTTAAGACTGGTTTCCAGCAGCTTTGCTTAAGGAGTCTGCCATCTGCTCTTCACGTGTCCTCTGCTTTCTCCAAAAGCTGAGGTTTTTTGTGGGCTATTTTAGGATTTTTATATGGGCCAAGGTGATTTCCTAAGCAAAAGGGCTTTTACTAAACATTGGGCTTCTTAGTTTGGACTTTATTTTGGTTGGGTTGTTTTGCTTGGGTATTGGGCTACTTTTCTTTCTTGTGCTTACCCACATGTTTGGGCCTAAGAAACGGGCTTGAGTCTCGAGGCTCCCAAGCAACCCGAGACTTTCCATTTCTCGGTCCATCAATGGGTCTCATGTTGATTTATCACCATCCATACCACAACCCACTCAAGCAAGCCCCGGGTATTTGAGTGGCTTGGGGCCCACTTAAGCTTGTGGCGTGATTAGGGGCTGAATGATAATTCCTTGCTTAGCGTGGCGTGTCGTTTGGCGTGGCATGTGTGCAAGCGCATATGATGAACTTTCGCATGCCCAAATCGGGTGTCTTCTTGGTAAAGCATCACATTGGGCCGAGAATTTATTTGGGCCGAACCGTGAATATTTTGGGCCTCAACAGCTGCTAGTTGGGAATATATTGTGATTGTTATGCAGGTTGAAATTTTTGGGGTTCTCCAAATAACAGAGGAGACTTTGTCGAAATTTTGGCAGAAAGTCTCAGTTATTAGAATGTGGACCCGGCATCGAGTGATGCCGAAATTAGACGAGATTCGTCTTAAATTTCAAGGAATTTGGGGCTGGTCTTGTCAAAATGTGTTGAATGCGAGAGAACTAGGTGCTAGATAGGGTTGTGACTAAGTTGTTTTTGGCCTTCTTATTGGAACTGGCAGCAAGATACTTAGGTTTTGACCATTCAGATCTTGGTTTTGGTACATCTTGGTCATCAATAGTCTTGACTGGATGAGTCCACTCTTTTGTGACATATTCATATGCATGGTCATCAAGAGCATCCAGGAATATCTCAAAATTTTCTCTTCAAGCAGCGTAATTATTCCCATCAAAGTATGGAGAGGAGTCGTAAGAACTATCAACTCTGTCCATTTCCATGGTAACATCACCTAAACACTAACTATCCTCATAGGATCTCTCTATTTGCGTTAAGAGCCGGAACTCTAATACCAATTAAGGTAAGAAGTGTGTGTGAATACATCAAGATCAAATAAACAGCAACATTCAGATGATAACTAGTCAATAGCAAGAACACAACACCAGAAAGGCAAGAACAACGAACCCAGAAAATTGTTCACCCAAAAAGCCATCATCGGGAAAAATTGGGAGTCATCATCCGACCAGGCAATCCACTAAGCAAAGAAGATTCTTACAGAGAAATCAGAAGCAAGCTCAAGGAAACTAGATCTATTTAGGAAGCCAGTTATATCTCCTCCATGCAATCTTCTTTTTCAAACTTAGCAAAACTTGTAGCTAGTTCTTCATGGCAATGGCAGCTACCTCCTCAACTCGTTCATCCCATGGCACCAACTTACACAACTTAACTCCAAACAGGAACAAGAAATTTAGATTCAAAATGAAATGATCAATTTCTTCAAGAAACCATACTCTTGAAGAAATCAATCTAGAATCTGACCTAGATCTATATGAGTATGTGTTTGATTTCCCTAGATGCAGATTTCATTTTCAAAGCAGTTTTCAAAAGCAATTTGAAAAACTCATTTATGAAAAAAAGGAGAAATCACTCCAAAGAAAAGGAGAGCAAAGGAGGAAAAACTCACAACCTCTCAAAAACACCTTTCCTGAAGTGACGGCTACCAAATAAAATGAATGGACCATTTACCCAAAATTCATAAGTCAGAAACAGACAGATGACAGCAAAAGAATATCAGAGAATAAGACAAAATTCTTTAGGATCTAGTTGGAAATGTAATGAGTTGGCAGACCTCATGATGCACAAAAGATGACTAGTCAAACACATACAAGTTGACTAGTGATAACCTAATGCATTCTAATGAATGTAATGCAAAATTTACCTTTGGCATCCCTTAATTATGTTAGGCCATTGATGAACAAACCACCGGACAACAACTAGATAACAATTTAGCATAGTTCAATAACCTTGAGCTTGGGAAATACATTGCATGTCCTATTACAAAGTTGTCAAGGAAAGCTAAAAGAAAACTAGCTAGAATACAACTCAACACCACCCCAAAACCAATTGGTAATGGTAGGAGTATCTCAACTCCTTATAGGCCATTGCAAGGTTTTTTAACTTTCCAACATGAGACTTTTTACCTTCATATTCTCACAAGAGTATTTTCAATCATGTGTGATCAATAGTGGAGGAGTCCCAGATTATTTTAATTTTGATGTTAGATTGCTCCGTTATTGTAATGGTCCTTTGTTGCTAGTTTGTATTGGCATTGTGTGGCTAATGATTTTTTTTGGTCAATTATGAATACAATTCCAGAATTTCTCCACACACCAAAAAAAAAAAAAACAAAAAAGACATGGAAGGGAGGAGGAACTATAAATTTTTCAATGGGGGCTAGCTAAAATTTTAGCTTAAAATCTCATTATATATATATATATTATAACTTACAAGTTCTATAGTTTTTCTATAAATAAAAGTATACATTAAATTACATAAACCATACTAGTTCATAGCTTCATTATAACTAATTTTCAATAAATTTTATGATAAAACAAATATTGCAACCAAAAAATACATATTATTAAATGAATATATGTTATGATGTAAACTTTCGAATACCTAGAATAGACTATTCAAAAATACCAAATTAAATTATCTGCAAGAGCACGAATCAACAATAATATAGAGTATGACTGGTGGCATATTGTGTCGGTTTTGTTTCAAGATACATGAGTGATTCATAACCCCATGCTGGAAGGTTGATTGGAATGAAATGAATGATGGTACTATATAAACCAAACAAAATAAGAGGGAAAAAAAATATATAACACTCATTATAGTACAACTCACATGGATATGCCACACAACCGGCATAAAATTAAGCTTTCATGTTATAAATTAAAATTCACACAACTGTAATTAAGCTTTCATACCACACAACTGTAATTAAAATTCACTCTTTTATTATCTTAGACATGGAGAGTACTTCTTGCAGAGGTTCATGTGGCGTAATTAATTTTTGAAGCCAAACTTTGTCATTCCATATTTCCGAATTGTGGAGATCGCATCGTAATCTATCACCGTCCCCCTTTGGTCCGTCGCCACCAGCGCCAGAAAATTTTTCTTGTTGGGTAATTGACACTTCTCTTTGATAATATCGATGCGTTCTGCACGGGGTTTTACTGCGTAGCATTTCAGATTTCTCGCAAATTGCTTATAGTTCTTTATCGCTCCGGGCGCATTCCACTCCTCTTTCTCCGCAATGGGGATCCAAACCGTCTTGTACTTATTGTTGATATTATCCATCTTCGTTCGCTCAACAACGCTTTGGATGAATGAAACATCTTTTCCAGAAATATTCAAGCTCGAAAAGAACAAGAACAGTTTCTGGTTAGACAAGCCATTCAAATTAGAGGGGTAGCTCTGTTTAGACAAAGAGAAAAAAACCACGATATAAGTTCTTATTACTAATATATTAAATGCAAATAATTAAGTCAGGAGCAACTTTTAGAGTTTATGATATCGAAGTATCTGAGGGTAGGAAAATGAGTTAAAACTTAAAACTGAAATAGGTCAAGAATCTATTTATTTTTATTTGACAGAAAAATAACAAAATCCTGGTCCAGTCTGAAGATTTGAATAAGAATTCAAATGCTAACCACATTCAAATTGTTGGGGTCAATGATCATGTCCGGGTCAACATGACCAACACCAAACAGCAAATCCTTCAGCTTCGCGGAAGCTTCAGAAATCGTCCCGATCCACGCTTTTGTGTTTATAAATTGTATCTCGTAAGTCTCATCTGCCATAGGGAGAAGAAAAATATGAGACCCAAAAAAAAAAGGGAAGAGAAAAAAAAATAAAAATAAAAATTGGGTTTAATGGCAAGTGCAACATCTACGCCAGTTTGTGAATCATACACCAATAGCCCTGATTTTTTAAGAAAGTGAAATTTTTTGCATGTGACGTTGACACTAAGTGATCATATAACACGTGTATGCAACTTCCTGTACTTGGTTGGACCGTACATAACTTTGATTTTAATTATCATTGTGTGCTTACCCTTCTTCTTGACATGGCAGCACTTATAGCTGATGAATGTCTCCATGGGATTGCCACACTCGACACATACCATGGCCTCTAGGGTGCTTCCGGCAACGCTTGAGATGTTAAAACAACTGCAGGCGTGACCAGTTAGTTCAACCTCCTTCTGCTTCTCCTTCTCATGCTCGCCATTAATACAAGTTCCCAAACTTTCTACTGTTATTGTTACGTTAGGACCCCACTGGGGATAGTGCTCCAAAACACTATAGATTGTGGAACCAGCGGCAATGGTCACAAGCTTACGGCCTTGCACAAGCACAGCCCATCCACTCTTATCATTTTTGTAGGAAAGCAGCTTCTGAACTTGTTTTGCCACGTCATCAAACTGCTTATTGTGAACCTTGATATGAAACATGGTTTCTATGGCGGACCAGAAGGTGCTGAAGCTGTCATCCCCTCCCTTACTATCTGCGGTCTTCCCCACATGATATAACTCCATATAAATCTTTGAGTTCGTTAGGACGTCGTCATTTATAAATGCACTTGCTTTCTCATGGAACTGAGTCGTCCATGAGGAATCCCCTCCGTAAAAGAAAATGTACTTCTCCTTCTCGATCTGTTGGACCAGGATTCACACAAAGTTAGCTTTCAGTCACTATGGTTGCATTTAAGAAAAATGCCAACATTCTACATCCCGCCTGCAACTCAATGATTGGAAGGTTTTTTTTTTTTTTTTTTTGGTTGTTATCCTTTAAAGACAATACATGCAAAAATCCACCACGACAATCCTTTTAAGGGTACACTTATATATAGTAAGTTTCTTAGATGTTAAGCTAATTACAAAATGCGTATCTACACGTTGATAGGATCTGTTAAAAAGAACTTACCCATTCTGATACAGATGGGTGAATAGCGCCCACTACGGAAACAAACCATGTATCTTGGAGAGAACTCAAGAGTTGTTCTTCTCTTTTATGTGTGAAAGGCAAGGCTTCGGGTCCCCATATGGAAATCATGTGCAGAGCGTTCGAATGTTGGAGTTGACCTTTCGTGTTCAACACCACCAGCATAGGCTTACCTTTGAAGTTCCAATCCTCCTTGATGTATTTGATGCCTGCTACCTGTGCACTAATCTGCCCTACCGTGTACCATGGCATCTTAACCCGCAGGCTCTCAAACTTGACTTGCAGCTCTTCTGTCCACTCCTCCGCAATTGGCATCCAAATTATCTTATAATCATCATTTTCATTTAGAGAATCATGGATGGGTATGAGAAGAGAAAGGTAATCTTCAGATATATCTACGCTCGAAATGAACAACAACACATTCTTCGTCCTTAGGATGTCCACCTGAACCTGTTTAAATAATCATGCACACAAATAAATATTAGTCTATCAAAAGAAGAAATGGATCAATCGTAATCTTAGCCGTTGTAATCATATTGGATTAAATTCAAGCAAAAAAGGCACATAACAAACCAGCATAGGATCATATGAATATAAATTCAAAAGCAATGTGCTATGATAGAGCAAACCATTTTCTGAGTAGAACCATTAAAAATGGTCGTCTCCGCATCACCCTTGGAGAAAATCAGGGTCTTGATAACCTCCATAACTTCTGTAGGAATTTGGAAAAGTTGCTTCAGCTTCGTGTAGGTCTGTAACTTCTCTGTATTAAATAAGACAAAAAAGGAATTTCATCATTGCATTGCATTGCAAGAGCAACATATGCATCTTTGTGAATGGTAATCAAGTAAACCAACCTATTTCCTCTTTGCAGATCTTAAGCTGTTGTTTAAGCTTATTGAGGATGATTGTGACCTTGTGAGTATACTGGACAAGGTCGTGTGACTTCCCCCTGACATGAAGTAATTAAAACAGTTATACTATGTACAGAGCAGTTTATTGGTACATGTTATATTGTTCGGTTGTCAATTTAAACAATTGATTAAGTGTTATACATGATATGTAAGCATGGACATCAGATGGAGTGGAACTTACTCATTACTAGTAAGAAGGGTGACATTAGTGGCGCAAGCTACCATTGTAATGATACACCAATAGACATTCACCGAGATATCTTTCCTTGCACTTGCCAAGATTTCTCTCAACTCCTTTACCTCGTTATGACTAATGGAAAGCTTCTCCAATTGAAAGATGCAATCAATCACTTGCAACGTGGACATCATCACATTGTTGAGATCAGCAACAGCTTTGCCGCGTTGCTCGAGGTTTTCGGGCTTGAGAAGGACTGGCACTCCCTTAAGGAATGCCACAGACATGGCAAGTTGATCAGACTGTTGATGCTGGGCACTCAGCCAGAACTCTCCATATTCCAAAGAAAAAGCCGCCAGAGCCAGCACAGCCTTCGCTTCCCATGAATACTTTGACACCTTGTTAAGTATTTTCAGCGTGGCGTCGTGGGCATAACTTTCACCTGGAGCTTTACATGGCACCTGGAATAAGTTCATATAAATAATAACATTCGTAAAGTTAATGTCAAGAATCAAGAATATATATAATCATCATGTTCATGGATCTCATATTTCACTGATTGTAGCTCTTGACTTAAGTGGTACCTAATAACCTTCTCAATGTTAGAAAATGTAACAAATTCAAATCCCTTCTTCCCTTGATTTAAAATAAATAAATTAATTAAAGAATGATATAAAGAAAATAAATTATAATGCAATGTGATGACCTCGCGAACAATGGACTTTAGAACGCACAACGGCGTGCTGAAGCCAGGTGTAATAGTTATTCCATCCATGGTTTCAGCATGTACTCGGGGGACCTGCAAACAAGTCAAAGGAAAATCAATTACAAGTGTTCTAACACTCAAAAACTCCCATCAAGGGTGAAACATATGAAGCTTGGAAATTACAAAGAAATACAACCCACTTAAATATTTCCCTCCTCCCATAAGTAGGAGCTCCTAAATTCCTGTCAATGACAGTGTGACACGTGTGTAGAAATTTTTCTTTTTGTGTTTCATGAATTATTTTTACACACGGGTCAAATTTTTACACATGTGTCATCTCTTTGTAGGGAAGAAGAGAAGCAATATCCCTTTTAGAATATCTTTTGGAAAGTGCAAGAAATACCTTCTGCGTAATGTTATCGACGATCTGCTTTGAGCACTTAAGGATGCTTTCGGTGATGGAGAAAAGAGAATGAACATCAAGCCTATCGTGTTCATGACTAACAACATGAGTAGCATAAATGCCTTCCAAGATTTCTGTGTCAGTCATGGAAAACAGGCTCTTCGTATCAGCGGCCTCAATGTTTTCCACACCATTTTTACTGTCTACTTGAGAGGCCGGCTTTTTGAATGTTAGGACAACCATGATGATATATGACTTGGAAACTTTTTAAGATGGCTTATAACTGACTTGTAGCAAACGACGACTTGTAAAGTGCCTACCTATTGCATGCCCTACTTATAGTACTATATGCTTCTCCACCTTGGAAACCTTAATTAAGGCAGCAACGTGTAACAAGGTTCCACCTCATTATTTTATTCCCAATTTGCCATGTGCAATGTACTGCAGCATTCAGATTCGGATGATATCTGACTGCCTCCCGTTTCATATTGGTTCCAACTTATTTTCATGCACGTCAATATGTAATTTTTTTTCTTTATTATTAAAAGCCTTCAATTCTATGAAATTTTAATTGGTTGATGTGGAGACTTCACACGTGGGCAAACCTGCTCTAATATCATGAAAAAAGTTGAGGTTTCATCCTAAAAATCAATTTGTAATGGGGTGAAATATATATCCACTACACAAAAACTCATTTCTGCAGAGGATATCCTCGACAACGAAGTAGCGCCAGCTTTCGAGATAGCGCACAATTTACGACAACGAATATGTCCATTAGGAGACAATCTGGCCAGAAAAACCTAAGTTCCATCGCCTGACAATACCCTGAAAATTCATGTACACGAAGTGTTTGGGCAAATTTCATCGCTGGGACTCGTGCTCACTACTGGAAATGTTGTGTCGAGGAATTAAGCTAGCAAAATTGATTTCGCGCCCCACTTTGGTATCCAATTTTAGAAAGTCGTTAGCTTTTAGGAGAGGTTTTGTAAGGGTTTTGGAGGACGAATGGCTTCGCCGCCCCTTAGGACCACTTACAAGAAAACCCGTGAACTATGGGTCTCCATTTTCATTGTTCCCACTTCAAACGTGGGACATTTCTTCATGAACAAGATGATGGAATTCCATACGTTCATGTGGAAGAAACATTTCTTAATTTGATGCCTTTATATATGTTTTTGTATTTTTAGATTGATATATAATATGAGTTCAAGGCAAACATCAGCACCAGCTTGATCTGGATCTATATGAGTTCGAGGACATGTATCATTTTTATTTTTTTTTCAGAGGAAGGGGCCAACAAGCGGTGAACCGCGGAACAACCTTCCCTTCAGAGGCCCAGAGAGACTATGAGGAATTTCACCCTATTCCTGGCCAAGGACAGAAAAATTCACAGTGGCTCTGCATTTCGTAAAAAGGACATGTATAATTGAAAGTAACTATTTGCTTAGATGTAAACTAAGCATTGTGATAAGTATTGCCGTGGTGGGCGTCAGTGGTCAACTTCGCGGCTAACAATAATGACGTTGCACGGGCTTATTATCTACGTATATAGCAAAAGGCAGAGAACGGTTAAATATTCAAACTTGTAAGAGCAGGTCCAGCGCAGGACCCAAACTGGGGGAAAGGGCCCCCTGGCGAGCCCGAGATGGCTCCAGCGCAAGAGAAGCAGCCCGGTTTCGTGGTGGGTCCCACCAGCCCGAGCAAGCCCAAGGGCAACTTCTGCCTGGGCTGAAGCCCGAGTTTTGTGACGTTAGCGCACAGTAAAACAAATTTTTTTTACTGTTGGCGCGTGAATTACACTCGCCAACGGTAAAAAAAATTTGATTTCCTCGCGCTGACGTCATCGCTGGCAGAATCCAACGGTAAAGTGCCACGTGTCGCGATAGGGACGCTTCGATCTTATTTTCCAGAAATTTGATGGTTACTGAATTTTTTTTTTTAAATACCAAAAAATTCTGTATTTTTTCCCTATAAATACCTAACCATTTTATTCACTTTCTACACCAAATCTTCATAAAAACTCATCTCCTTCCAATATTTTTCACTTTCCACACCAAATTTTGTACTACAAAATTTCATTTGTGCAAAAATACAAATGTCATCTTCCATCAAAGCTGAAGGATTGCATTTCCAATTTCTTTTTTTTTAATAGATTAGTCAAGGCAAAACCAAAAAGAGAAAAACCATTACACATGGTTTCTCAAGTGAATAATGCCCGCAGTCAGTTCCTGTGGTGCGTTCCGTGTCAGAAATAATGACACTATTACGTCCTCCAAAGGAAAATACTCCCCCACGTCGTGACCC